ATAATTTTTATTGTATTCTGTTTTTTACCTATTCAGGGTTTTGGGGGGGGGGTTTATTTAAGAATTGGCATCACATAGGGTGCCCTGGGTAGCTCAGTTGGTTAAGCATCGGGATCTCAGGGTTTCGAGTTCAAGCCTAGCATTGGGCTCCGCGTTGGGCATGAAGCCTACTTAAAACAAAAAAAAAAAAATTAAAATGTAGTCAGAAGCTGGAAGAAAAAGACAGTTTCTCCCATACTGCCTTCAGAGGGAGTGTGGCAATGCGGACAAACTAATTCCACATTTCTGGCCACTAGAACTGTAAGAATGCACTTGTTGCTTTGAGCCACCAAATAAATAAATAAATAAATAAATAAATCTGCATATACATATATATTCTTTAAAAACATTGCTTTTCGGGGCGCCTGGGTGGCGCAGTCGGTTAAGCGTCCGACTTCAGCCAGGTCACGATCTCGCGGTCCGTGAGTTCGAGCCCCGCGTCGGGCTCTGGGCTGATGGCTCAGAGCCTGGAGCCTGTTTCTGATTCTGTGTCTCCCTCTCTCTCTGCCCCTCCCCCGTTCATGCTCTGTCTCTCTCTATCCCAAAAATAAAAATAAACGTGGAAAAAAAATTAAAAAAAAAAATTAAAAAAAAAATAAAAACATTGCTTTTCATGGCTACCTAATATTCTCTTTCAGAAATTATACCATGACTTACTTAGCAATCTCCTTGGATAAGACATAGAAGAATCTTTAAGAATGTTCCCTACCGTAAGTAACAAATTGATGAACATATTTTGACATGGAACACCAAAGTCTTCCAGAAAGCTGCATGGGTTTGTATCACTGCTGCAAATCCGCACGTGCCCACTTACTGCACCATCACCAACACTGAACACTGTCCTCGAAGCACAAATTACCCTGAGCCTATGAAAATCATCTCTCTACCCTATCAAATCTCTACCCTATCAAATCTCTACCCTATCAAATCTCTACCCTATCAAATGATCCATCCAACAAACAAATGCCATGGAAACAAAGACTGCACAAGAGCACGAGGGTGTAGGAGGGAAATTTTAAGACCACTTCTGGAAAAATAGTAATTCAGAAGTGCATGCCATATTTGCGATGTTCACGGACACTTTACTAGGAAATCACGTTTTCATTTAAAACACTATCACCAAACCCTATTCCAGGGCTGCATTAGATCTGATTTGAAGTAACAGACTCCAAATGTGGATAAACTGTATAACACCATTCTGCACTTTGTCCAAGTCATAACGTAGACTAATCTTAACACCCGACTGAAAACCTGAGGTTGCCACACACTGATATGATACCCTTTCTGTGTGCCAATTAGAGGAACAAGTTTTCCTTCATGACCCCAATATTTGGGCAAGATTACTAAGCACTTTCTTTTTAAGGTATTTTTTTAAGTAATTTCTATACTCAACGTGGGGCTTGAACTCACGACCCCGTGATCAAGGGTTCCAAGCTCTTCTGACTGAGCCAGTCAGGCGCTCCACTAAGCACTTTAAAAGGAAAGAGGTAAAGATTTGTATTCGCTTGTAAAGAACCAACTTTACAGGATTCCTGCCCAACATCTGCCAAACATCTTTTCAGTCATTTATCCAACAATGCCAAGTTTTTTGCTTTTCTAGTTTTAAGTACAAGTTCAGATCAATTTAAGGAAAAATTGCTCTTTGACACTAGGGCCTCAACATAATAAAACACCTTTTAGAAAGGATTTGTGATCAGTCTGAAAAATACTACATGACCTGGATAAAAGTAAAAATAAAACCAAATTACAGATTTATCTGATTTCAAAAACAAAAACAAAACCTATTTTGAAAGTTAAGTGATCAAAAATTTCTATTTACTACCAGATAAAGTCTTGATATATAAAAACTCAAGACAAATAATTGAGTCTATTATATATACATTAACTTTAATAAAGTCTAGTCCAGTATAAACTGCCAAAGGTGTTGAAAGACAATATTACCTAGTCCAAAATTACATGCAAATTCTAGGAATTATTTTACTAACTGAAAAATGATATAAGAAATTACCTAACGTCCTATCCATAAGCCTTACAAATCTCAGATCCCAGTAAGATTTTGACAACTGGCTTTTCTTTAATGGGACATCTTGCAGAGAAATACACATGTATAGCACACTATAATCCAGAAAGCCAGATGTATTATCTCTGTCACAGCTAGCCAAAGCTGAAAAAGAATTTTTCCTCAAAGCTTTAAATACTATCCAAAGCAGAAGTCTATGTCCTGTCCAAGTTCTCAAACTTCCAACCCCAAAAAGCTGCAAAAATTCTCCTAAATCCTGGACCGTTCAGTCTACACAGTCGGAACCAAATAAGTGTTTCGGCGTCACTTCTTTTAGAGTAAGCTTTAAAAGCTCTCAAACAGGGCTAACGTGTACTGGAAGAGAAGAGGAACGCATTTAAAAAAATAGAAAAAAAAACCCTTGGATTCTCTAAAGTGGTAGAGAAAGCCTAAATTACCCTTATGTTCTAGGAAATAAACTATTTTCTCTTAATGATGATTGGACTTGGCTTTTCCAAGCCATCTCAATGGCCACCAGAAACAACAAAACACATTTTTCCCCTCTCTTGTCATTATGTGTATATACATTTTATATGTGTGTGTTCTGTTTATGAGAGTCTTCAGCCAAGGCTTTTAAATGTGTTGGAGAACAAATTGCTGATCGCTGGGTGGGCAGGGAAAGGGTCCAGTGCGGTGGTTTTGTATAATGCTGAGCACATTAATGGGACTCACCAAATACCATATTTATTTTACTTGTGGTTTTCAGGGTTAGAAAGAAAGAAAAAAAAAAGAGGTTAGAGTTTATCAAAAACAAAACAAACTCAAAACAGGGAATTAGGGCAAAATTACCTGGATCATTCAAGGCCTATTTACTTTCTTTTCCTGAATTTTTAACATTATAAACCTTCTCTCTTCATGGCGTATCTGTCTTTACACTCCACCTCTTCTACGAGTTGGGTTCTGAAATCTTCCTAACTGTCCACGTAGTTTTAAAACAACTGTCCTGCCAAAACTTACACGTCATCAAGCCACATGCCATTCCCACCTGAAAAGGGACATTGTCAGGGCAACAGAACAGGTAAGAGGCAGTAACTGCACTAAGTTCACCTGTGGTTCTGTGCTTGCACACCTCACACATTAAGGCGCCCCAGCAACAGGGCCGACACCTCAGTCCTGGTGGCAGTGAGGCCGAGATGGGTTAAGTAAAAGAAATTTGACATTTCTCTCAATTTTATCAAGTACGTTATGGTTTTGGAACATATAAACCTCTTTTTTTGCTACCCACCAGAAGCCAAAAAGCCTTTGGTTTGCCTGGTTAACCTTTCCATTTGGCAAGTGTTCTCAATGGGGTGAACAGAGAAAGATGGTTCCACACAATACATCCGTACCCTTAGAAATAAACAGATTGCCCATCTAAGTGAAATAGAGAAAGGTTTCTGAAGTAATTGGTGTGTTAGGTGAATTAGATACAGCAACTCCTTAGAAGCACACTGGTCATTTTTTAAATTTTATTTCAGTGGTAGGGAAAATAAATGGCAAAGGAGCCCGAAAGATTCAAGAAAAAACTGGAACTCAATTCAAGTCTCCATCTCTTTGAAAAGGAAGGAGGAAGGTCAGTAGTTGTAAAGAACTAGCATGTAAATAACACTTGCCAAAATAATAGGTTAAAATAAAATGCAATTATCCTCAGGTGTGAAGGCAATTTTCAGCTTACTGCAATTCAGGTGGGTTGCCCCCATACAACTGTGCTAAGAGTAAAATCTTGTGTTTTGCATTGATTTGCATGGTCTTCATTTTAAACGTTCCCTTTTCACAAGTGGACAATGAAGGCTTACCCTCCTAAATTAAATCCTCCCCAACATTCGGTTTCACTATCAGAATCTTAGTTGGCACGCAACACATTATCTCCATAATAATCTCAACCTCCTAATCAGTTTACCATTCTGTAGACTTCATATACTGGGACACAACACTTGTAAGAATGCTTTACGGTTCATGTCTACATGCATACTTTCTTGCATCTACACACACACACACACAAGTTCTTTTTAGAACGTTTAAGAACTCAGCTATGTGGGATCTTCAAAAGTAGGCGAAAAAAATATTGTTTCCTGGACTCCAGATAAATGGCTTTGTTCCTGCAGGTACGTTAATCGGATACCACAAATACCTAACTACAAAATTCTGAAACCCACAGTTACCGAATTTTGTTTCTACCAAAGGAACGCTCCGCAGCCGCAAGTTTTAATGTTGTTACGGACGCATCACATAAAATTTACGCTCAGAAGTCAAAGTCCTATTAAAACAGCCTCGATGATCGTTTGGTGAATTGTAAAGTTTTAAACTCTTTCATTCTGCTCCCCGCAGCCGCATCGCCCCTAAATTTACAAAACCTAATCATCCAGATTCGGGGTCTTTGACTCACCAGAGAAGAATGCAGCTGATGAGTTATCTATTAATTCGAAATGCCTCGGCTGGAAAGATATTTCACCGAGAACTTTTAACACTGAAGGGAGGGGGGGGCGGAGAAGGTAGGGAACAGAAGGTGTCTCTTGACGAGAACTCGCCCCGAGTTCCTTCCTTACACCACACAAACACACCCCAGAACTTCCAGCCCGGGTCGCAGAATTAAGAACTGACCCTCCGGGTCCCAGTAAACGGAGGTTACCCAGGAGCCAGCTCTCGATTCCGCTTTTAAAATCCTACGCAAACAAAGCTGAGCATTATACTTACTAAAGTCTCCGAAAAGTCCTTAAAGTTACGCAATTTTTGGAACCCACAAAAACTCGCTCTCCGAAGAGAGCCCCTCTCGGGGCCACAATTTGGGGCTATGCCTCGGGACAAGGGCAATTCCCAAACCCTCGGCTGCGGCGCCCCGGGGCCGGCCGGCCGCACTCTGGAGAAAGCCCGCGCGTCTGGCGCCCCAGGTCGTACCCCCCGCCGCACCGAGCCCCCTCAGTACCTCTTCCTCCTGAAGGTTGGCCTCGTTCGGGGTGTTCTCCTTCTCGGCTTTGCCGCCGTTGTTCATCTTCCCGGTCCTTCCTCGCCGGGCAGGGCTGGGGCGCGGGGCTGGGCGAGGGCGCGCTCGCCCACTTTTCCCTTCCCCGGGCGCCGGGGCTCCCTCGGACGGGCGCCGCGGGCTGCGGGGGCTGGAGCCGGGGCACCGGCGGCTCGGACTCCCGCGGCGAGGCGAGACTGCGGCGGCGGGCGACCCAGGAAGTGCGAGGGAGAGACGGGGCAGGGCGAGGCGCGGGCCGACTGGGAAGGGGACGGAGACAATCGGGACCCGGGAGGGAGACCTGGAGAGGGAGGGCGGGCGCAAGGGAAGGAAGGAAGGAAGAAAGGATGGGGCGAGGGCGCGCGTCCCAGGAGGGAGCCCAGAGAGTCGGGGAGGTGGCCGAGTAGGGGCTGGGGGCGGCCGCTGCCCGAGCCTAGCGGGGGCCGGAGGGAGGGGGCGAGGGGTGCCCAGACCGAAGGAGGAGGAGGCGGTGCGGGGCGCGGGCCACGGCTGGGACGCTGGGACCCGGAGAGCCGCTGAGTGCGCGCTCCAGGCAGGCTCTGGGAAGTACGGGATCCAAGCAGCTCCCTTTCTCTCTCTTTCCTCCCTCCCCTCTCTCCTCCCCCTCCTCCCCCTCCTCCCCCCTCCTCCCTCCCTAGACGAGGGCCGCCGGGTTTAGCCCAGAGGGACGGGACGCGGGACTGAGAAGCCCCCAGCGGGAGGAGGGGCTGCGCCGGGGGCGGCTGCCCCGCGGCCGGATGGCGCGCGCCGGGGAGGGGCTGCGGGCGGCAGGCGGAAGCGGCCGACCCCAGCCCCCAGCTCCGCGGTAGGTCGTAGGGCGAGGGCCGAGGCGGGGGAGGGAAGGAGGCCGGGTCCTCCAGCTCCCTCGCGCCCCCGTGGGCCCCGGTGGCCGGGCCGGGCCGGAGTTGGCGAACTCGCGTGGCGGTGCGCGCCAGCTTGGAGAGGGGCTTCGGGGAGCCAGGCCGGGCCAGCGCGACGCCCGGGAAGTGTGATGGGCTACTGCCGTGGGCTTGCTTCCCGCGGGGATTCGCACCCCTATCCCTAAGCCTGCCCCTCCTTTTCAGTACCGGCTTACACCCATTTCCTGCCTTCCTAGTTGGCAGCTTGAGATGACAGGATGCGAGGGAACGAGCGACGTCCTGGGGCCCCCCGCTCCGGGCCAGCGTTTTCAGGACACAGCTTCAAACCCCCCGCCAACGCCGGGTCCTCCCAAACCTTCCAGCCTCCCCGCACCGGCCGTCGCTCTCCGCGAGGCTTTACGGGCCCCTGCTCAGGCTCCTCTCACCGCCTTTATCAGGCCGTTCTGGAATTATTTGTTTACCTGGCTGCCTCCCTTACTCTTCTGGAGAGCCTCCCTGCTAGACTACACCGTGCCCTGTTTATCTTTATAATCCCACGGCCATTTAAGTACGCTACCTGGTATATAGGAAGCAATCAGTAAATATTTGTTGGCTAAGTGAATGTTCCTCAAGCCCGCCGAACTGGAGGCCAACACAGATGATCTTCAGAGAGGGTCAAAGCAGCTTGAAGAAGGAAGAGGGCTCAGCATTCTGGGAGGTCAGCACAGCACGCCTGTTTATGCACCAACCTCGGAAGGACTGTGGGTTTCTGTTTCCTCACCTGTGAAATGGGAATAGTTCCAGTTACCTCCCAGGGGGTTGCAATCAGAGGACATTACAGGTTGGTACAGTACAGCACCCAGCATCCATTCCTGCCCAGTTTAAGTCGGCAGTACATGGAACCTAACATTATTAAGGAAATTTCCACTTTTCCGGGGTCATAGAGAGCTTCTCCATTCCTGTATCATAAACACAAATTTTAAACTGCTTATATCAGTAGGTTCTCCCTCACTTCCCATGCCCAGGAATTCTCTCACACAGCATGCTGTTCCTTTCCAGCACAGCACCAATCACAATTTCTAATTATTGGCTTGCTTCACTGTTTATCTCTCTCTGCCCCT